AAGTCTATAACTAACCTAATGTTGTCAGCTGCTTGCCTAGCTTTTATAAACCCTGCTTGATCCTTCTTAATAACGAACGGTATCACTTGCTGTAATCTATTTGCTAGCACTGCTATTAAGATTTTTGTATCAATGACAATCAGAGAAATTGGACATTATTAGCACATTGAGTATGAGCTTTACCTGGTTTTGGTATAATTGCAATATAAGCCTGATAAAATGCCTCTGATAATATTCCCTTATCAAGTATCTCATCATAAAATTGACAGTTTTGGTGCCAAAAGATCTACAAATGTTTTATACCATTCTATAGGAAATCCATTCAATTCTGGTATTTTACCACTTGCCATTTTAAAAATTATTTGTTTAATCTCTACCTCAGACAGTGGAGCAAATAAAAGTTGTTTTTGTATATCATCTAGGTATGATAGATTTATATTATCTAAGACGGCCTCTATCTCCTCACTCAACATATTCTCTGGTTTGCAATATAATTCTGAATAAAATTTTAAAAATTGACAATTTCTATCCTTTGAAGTTTTATATATTTCATCTGTTTCACCTGTAATAATTGGAATCATAACCCTATCTTTCGTTTTAAATGATTAGCCCAAATTTTACCTGGTCTTTAATCATTCTGCCAATATCTCTGTTGTCAACATGTTAGCATGAATTCTGTCTGCTGTGATATTATAGTAGTTAATTCATATTTCTTCTTCTGTATTTCTCTATACAAAGTAGTAGATGGGTTCTAAACATGTGTGCCCATAAATGTTTCAATTCATCTTTCAAATTATTACTACGTTCCATTGTTGGCAGGAAATGAATGTGTGAATACATATTTTTGAATGAATTCCGTTCTTCTGTACAAAACTTATTCAATGCGCTGGACTCCATATATGGATATTTCTTCCACAAATGTTTACAGCAATTCAAATACAAAGTTTTTAGATAATACAAAAATGTGCAGTATGATTGGACTCCTTATCAAAAGATTGGAAAGCAGACAATATCTTAACATCAGTTATAAAAGGGGAGAATTTAATTGAAATGAACAAATTCACATGTGTCTTAACCTAATGTGAAAAGCATTATTAAAGCTGGAAGCAATATCAAAAATATAGAACAAGGCTTGTCTATTAGAATTCTCATGGCTGTAAAGAGCATATAGGCAATAGTAATCTAATAAACATTCTATGTATTTTCATTTCTGAAAAGCTTCCAGAGGCAGAGTTGTATTAGTCCTTTGCAGCAAAAACACAAGACTCTCAGATGACTTCTAAAATGTTTTTGGCAAAAATCCCTTGCCAAAGTCTCCTGAATTAAACTTGAAATCTTATAAGATGATGGACCTTATTTTGCATCAGCAGTTAATAAAGAATGGGAGGCAGACAGTGGAAATAAACAAGTAGAGAATCTGCATTGGTATTCTACTTCCTACAATATTAAATATTCAATTTAATATTCATAAACCATCTGGAGTCAAAAGGAAATAGTGAGGCATCCAATTTTGCAGATGGTGAAAGTCCAGGGAAAGTGCCAAGACCTCCAAAATGATTTTACAAACTTGACAGCATGGAACAAAATGGCAAATAGAATTCAATATGAGGAAGTACAAAGTAATGTACATTACAACAATGGCAACTTCAAACATACAATGTCAGGATCTTTATGAACTATGATTATCCAACATAGAGATCTCAGGTCAAGTAGATATTTCTCGCAGAACTGTAAAAAATTCATCTTTCAGATTGGAGATACTTAGACTGCTTCCAGTAGAAAAGCATCTCAAATCAGTTTACCAAATATGATACGCACAATAAAAACAATAACAGAGATGAAAAACATAAGGGAAAAGAAAAGCAGAAACAAACAAAAACAATTCATCCTATTTTCACAGACAGAAAACTTGGAGAAAGGGATCTCCAAGAGGTACCTGGAAGATACAACAGTAGGTGCCTTATTAACTTCAAACTAGCTTGACTTTAATTTAGTATATTGTATGAACCCTCTCTGGGAAATATGGGAGGAATGAGAAGAAGAGGATGACCAGCAGCAAGGTGAATGGTCTCCATTCTGTTGGCAATGGGCGCACCACTGGAAGACCTGAAGGATCAAATTAGGGACAGATCGTCATGGAGAAAATTCATCTACGCTATGTGGTCGCTAGGACAGTGACTTGATGGCACATAATCAATCAATCAATTGTACAAACCCAGCCTTTGTGGTTAAATATGTTATATGAACCCATCCAAATGTGGTTTATTCAATAAACTGTGGTCAAACCATGGGTTAGTGGAATGTGAACCCAGTCATTAAGAATAATAATCTCAGTATGATCATGTTTATATCAATATGATATGGCAACATATTTTCAATGTTCTGGTCACCTCATTTTTTAAAAAAGCACTTGAAAGAGTATTGCATGGCCCCGTACAATATTGGCAGTACTTCCTACTCTCCCATCTGTGAAAAGTCATTTGAAGATATACCTCCCAACTTTGGAAGGGACAGAAATCAATGCCACCCCCTGGATTGCCATAAGTCTGGCAGTACCAAAAATCCCCTCACACTCACTCCATACAAAAGGAAAATAAATTGCCAACACACATGTGCACACCTACTTTGGGCTGCGTGCATTTGCCTGGTTGGCATCAAGCCATCTTTCCCCTTGAAAAGCCTGCAGCCGTGAAGTCAAGAGGCAGGACATGGCAAGACCAGCATTCCTATAAATGGGGAAAGAGGCTGCCCCAATGCCTCAGTATTGTTGAATTTTTAAAAGTTAGTTTTACTCCAATTTTAAATACTCTGCAGCAGAGCCTGAAATAAATCCATTTAACTCAAACTCTGCCAGTCATGGGATGGCAAAGATTTTGAGCTGGTTTTGAACTGGCAGAGTCCTCATGTGAAAGTGTCCATGTCAAATTAGATGGGAATCAGTCAAATTTGCGGATGACAGTTATAATGGTTACTTGAGTTGGGGGTTTTATGCTGTCTCTGGAATTGGAAGTTTCTAAATAGCAATTGCTGGGGGAGATGAGCAAGAGGACGTGATCAGCACAAGGCTGGCCACTGTGGGAGCAGAACACTGGGTGGACTGGATAAGCCTTGGTCTGATCTAGTAGGGATCTTCTTTATGGTAGCTGGTCCCATGGCTTAGAAGTCCTTGTCAAGGGAGAGCAGGTGGATTCTCTCTCTCTTTGTGGCCTTTTGGTCAAAAGCAGGCTTGTTTATAAGCTACTTTGTTGAGCAAGCTAAGTTCTGATTCATTGATAGCCCTTTCTTATTACTGGTATGTTCTAAGTATTCCTTGACTGATACTTTTACATATGTATACAGTGTGTGTGTGTCTATATATATATTTATAAACTATTCTATTTTTACCTTTATTTTATTATAGTTAGCTGCTTTGAGTATTATTTTTCACAAAAAGAGAAAATGCAAAATAAAAAATACTCCTGCGTGTTTCTTTGACCACTTAATTGGACGAAATCTGTGAATTGATATTTTCTAATTTCTAAAATGACCATCTTAACCGAACTAACCTATAACAAATTAGTATTTTGCTGGTATAGATGCTAGGCTAGAGGCAGTCACCGGCTTCATCCTTTCACAGCAAGAAAGATTTGGCACATGGGATTGTCATTTAAGAGTTTCTTGTAACCTTGAAAAGATAAAAATGAGCTTCAACATGCAAAGATATTATAATATGATTATGAAACTATGGCACGTGCAGCATTAATAGTTTCATTTTGCAGCCTGGCTTCTTCACAGGAATGTCTGATTTTGAAGTGTTAATCATTATGTCACCTAAATGGCATCATCCATCTACAGTATCCACAAAAGGAAGAGCATGTTCAGGGGAACTCCAAGATTTGCAGAAAACAAGAAAATCAGCCTGTTCTCAAGAGGTCATTCCCCTAAAATCCACAGAAGAATGAGCATGCTGATTGTCTGTCGTAATCTTAACAAGCAAAAAGAGAGAGGAAAAGGGAGAAATGGAACAGAGTGGCTGCACACATGAACACTGCACCTTCTTGCTGTAGATCCGAGTTGTGCCCTGAATCTCAGACGTTCAAAAGTCTCTTGGCTTATTTAGCTAAATAAGCATGAATGCATATAGGAAAAGTGTGAGATGGGGTCCCTTCAGATTTACAGAAATAATCTGTACAGGAAAAAATAAAGCAGGGACAAAATAATTGTCTATTTTGGCCAGCAGCCCTGAAATGCGTGTGCGTGTGTAAGGAAAATTGGATGCTGGAGGTACCAGATATGGGTTGCAAAAATCCGGACAACCATCATACGGCAGCAAAAACATAACTGCTGCCCCCCAGTGATTGTCCGTGATTTAGAAACCCGCTATCTGTGTAACCCTTCCCCGGGCAAAGAGGCACTTGGAAGAGGGCGCAGCGCCTTCCTCGCCCTGAAACTCAACCGTGGCCATGTTGGCCGTCGGGAGGGAGGGGAGGAACCAAAACGTCACCGGGACAATTCCTTCGCTTGCAGCAATCTGGGCACAGGGGTATTGCCCGAGGACGTGGGGTTGTTGCAAGACAGCTTGCAGGTATAACCCTATTTGTAGCACATACTATCCTTCGAGACGACTGCAGGCACCGGCGGAGCACTCGGGGCTCCTTTAGCGCCGACGTCCTGCTTTGCAAGGGCACAGAACCCAGATTCCTACGTGCCAGTGCAAGGCAGGCGACTGCGTCTTCGGGTACTTCTTTCTCTGCAAAACGTCGCGCTGCAGGATCCCCTCGCTTCACTGCCTTTCCTTGTTGGGACGGCCTGAATAGCCAACGATCCTGAAGTAATGCCCAGGAAGCGGGCCAGATCCGCCCGCCGGCGCCTCTCCGCAAAGAACATTCTGGTTCTTTGTAAGAGAACTTCCCCGGGGTGGAGAGGAAGGAGGATCCCCCGCCCCTACGATGGCAGCCCTTTCGCGTGGCCTTGAGGGGCGTCCGTCAGAAGGAGGAGGGCCAGCGGCCGACTCCGCCTCTCCGAAGGCCCGTGGCCGTACATTCCCTCGTGTCAGTGCTGCCAGGAGCTTGGAGGCGCCTTGCAGGGGGAGGGGAGGCTGCTTTGCTGGGCTCGCCGCCGCAGCTGCTGCTGCTGCTGCCGCCGCCGCCGCCGGATCCAGCCCGCGCCCGGGCGGAGACTGCCGAAGAGTCCTCCTCTCCCTTCCTCGTGGCCTCCGGATCCCCGTTCGCAGGCTCGGCTCCCTTCTTTTCAGCGCTCCGTTCCCATCTCCGGATTCGCACACATGGAACTGCTGTGCGTGGAGGGGGTAATCCGGGCCAAGCGGGATCCGCAGCTATTAAGGGACCGGCGGGTCCTGCAGAATCTGCTCAGCCAGGAAGAGCGCTGCTGCCTTCGCGTTTCCTACTTCCAGTGCGTGCAGAAGGAGATCCAGCCGTACATGCGGAAGATGTTGGCGTTCTGGATGTTGGAGGTTTGTGCCGGGGTGTCGCTTGCCCGCCCTCTTCTCCTTGTGGGCTCAGCTCGGCTTGCCTCTTGGCTCTTAGTCCGTCGCCTTAGAAAGTGGGGCTTTTCCCCTTCCTTTCTGAATCGGGTTTACAAGGAAGCCTCGTTGGATTCAGTGGCACATATGTTCGGGCAAGCATGCGTCGGGTATAGGCGACTTTGTGGCACGTTTTCTCAGAAATAAATTCCGTTCATTCCCTGGAGTCTACCGCCGGCGGAGTTTCCCTAGGAAGGATTGAGGCCTTGAGTTAGTCTTGATGGAGCGGGAAAAGCTAACCTTAATTGCGGGGAAGGATCGGGATTCAGGCGTTCTTGGGAAGGATTTGCAGGGGGAGAGGTCGATCGAAGGTGGTGGGAAGTGTTCGGGTTGTGGGGTGAAGGTATCGATGCTTAATCAACAGCAAGCCAATCTGGGGGGGTGGGGGGCTTGGGGAAAAGGAAATGATTGAAAAGTAAATGAGGCCTCCAGCCCCTCCGTTTTTGCTTTGGCGATTTAGGCTGATTGAAAAGCACTCCGACGGCGCTGCGCCGAGGGAAAGATTCTTATTCAAGGAGCGTGCACCTTTTCTTGGCAGTAAGGCGTGCAACCTCTAGGCGTCCCGGTCACTAGCCCTGCTTGTGCACAAGATTCAGGGACTGATCACAGCGCAGTTAAAAATATGCAGTTTTTCAAACTTAGAATGCCGGGCATGAAGAAGAGGTGAAATGGGAGAAACGAACAACCAGGAAAGACAAATTTTAACCCTAAACCCCCCCCCCATTCTCTACCAGAAAAAGAAAGGTTGAAACGTGGAAGTCAAACTAGGATTGTCTTGCCATATCCTACAATAAATATTATGGGTTTTCACCTAAATGGAACTGAAGTAGAGTTGCTGTCCTCATTCAAAATAGACTATGTTGCCTTAGATAATTGTACAACAACCACAAATAAATTAGAGCTTTTTTCTAACATGAACTAAGCAGGAACACAGCTTCACTTGTTGAGTTTCTTCCTTTGGGAAAGAAAATTGTGGTTTAAATGGACTTTTAGTCTAGAACAGGACTCCTTTATGTTTTTAAGCTGGTCTTCTTACTAATAATGTCTTGTATGAATTCAGTTTTTTTTCTATGTTTGCTTGCAAGATATCAAAGCACTCAGTGTAAATGACCACTTTCTGCAATGCTATTAATGCATTTGGGCTATTAAATTCAGGTTTGTAAAACATTACTTGCCCAATCATCTGTAACAGGCAAGAATTGCTTTCTGGAAAACAAGGCAGGAAGCTCAAACTGGAAGAGAGATTTGAGTTCCCCCACCCATCATACCTTAAATGTGTCATAAATGGAAGCAGTCCTGTGTAAGTAGACCAGGAGGAGCAGATGTGGATTTAAATTCATTTATATGACTTTAAGCTGATGAGACAGATACCAGCATCTTGAACAGGAAAGCCAAGTCATAGTACATCCATAAAAAAAAAAGCCAATTCCTATAAGTGATGCAATAAATAATAATGAGTTTCTGCTAAAGGGGAAATCTCCATGGTTTAATTGTTAAACAGAGTTAATAGATTCAGTGGGGGCAGTATAAATCAGCATAAATAAAGTCAGTCAGCATAGTCAGTGGACAAGAATGGGAATTTGGCTTTTTTACTTCCACGAAAGGTTCTTGATTAATATTGTCATCATATGATGGCTTCCTTCATGGAAGTACCATTGATTTCACTGGTATTTCTTTTGGCATGAGATGTAAAGGGTTGTAATGTTCTGTAGCAAATGGAATTAGGGTAGTGAGATACTTTTGAATATTTAGGATCTTACTCATTGCACATGACGCATCAGGCCAGAATTTTAAAAACCAAATACTGATTCTATAATCCAGATTTGACCAAACCAGCTTTGCAGCAGGATCTAGGAGCAAAGCAGAGAACACATTTCCCTGTTCTACATATTAACCCTCATATTTTCCTTGATATTTACAAAGGCAAAGTGCTTTGATAATGACTATTTTTGAAGAGTTTATTTACAGTATGGTAGATGTTCCCTATGTATAAAATTCTTTCCTGTTGTTGATTATTTTTTATCAGGTTTGTGAGGAGCAAAAATGTGAAGAAGAGGTGTTTCCCTTGGCCATGAATTATGTGGATCGCTATTTGTCCTGTGTCCCCACCCGCAAAAACCACTTGCAACTCCTGGGAGCTGTCTGCATGCTTTTGGCTTCCAAGTTGCGAGAAACCATGCCTTTAAGCGTACAGAAACTCTGCATTTACACAGACAATTCCATCACACCATGCGAAGTTTTGGTAAGTTTCCTCCCTCATTAGATATAATATTTCATATTTCTACAACTCAGCTTGTTCTATTACTTAATCATGGATGGGCACTGTGGTTGCTTCTTAAGTATCATATGGTTTTCCTTTTCCTGCTATAATCTCCTTTTTTTTCCTTCTTCTGTTTGCACATCTTTTTTAGACTCTTGATTCTGGCCTGTTGAGTGTAATTGCCCATAAATGACTTGAAGTTAGAAGTGAATAGTAAATTGCCCCTATTTGCTGAACACATCAAATTACTTGGAGTGCTTTAAAAATGGATAGAAATGAACTCCCAAATGGACATATGTATATAGCAAATCTTATTGAGTGGAAACAAGAATAAAATGATGTGCATGGGACAACCCCCCTCCCAAAACTGGAACTCATAAGTAAGAAGGACAGGCTTTTGCACTCGTGCCCTGCTTGTGAGCTTCCCTATGGTGACAACTGTTTAGGCACAATGGGTACAAAATGCTCTACCAGGAAGGAACCTTTGCTGTAATCTAACTGAGTGCTTCATATGTGTGCACAATCCAGTCATGCTTCTGTGAATCTTTGTAATTATATTCTTTCCAAATGCACAATTTATGTTGGAAAGAAACCTGTTCCTTTGTCATATTCTCCTGCAATGACAAGTAATCATGCAGGAAATAGTGCTTGAAGAAAACACATAGAGTAACAATTTCTGTTAAGGACAGAAGTGGTCACTAGTTGGGGATGGTTGAGACAAATGCAGGTTTTTAAAGTTTAGCAAAATCTCATTTAAAAATGAACTGTCTCCAGTGAAATGTAGACATTGCAGAAGAATAGCCATTTTTCAATAGTAGCTACAGTTTTAAACCTGCAGAGTACACCCATTGCAAAAGGATACTTTTAAATATTTTTAAAATATTTAAACAGTTAAATATTTAGGCAGTTAACAGCTCTCTCATAAGATATGGCCATATGTCATGGTACTTGGTCTGGAAACATGTAATTTTTCTACCGATAGGCAGTTCATTGGTAGAATGCAACACTGACCTAAAAATTGCTGCCAATCAGTTATATCAAGAACAATTCAGCACTTATATCACAGTCTTTGTTGTCCTGTGTATAGATGCAGGTTCTACATTCATTTTTGATGGAGAAACTCTTTTCAGTCACCCATTTAATGTGAATGTAGTATGTATTCTGAGTGGGTGTGCAAAATATGGTATTTTTGAGGTTCCTGTGGGTATTTTTTCATTGGATTTCAGGCTAGAGTGAATATAATGCAGGATTTCTAGAAATCAGCACATCTCTTAAAACAGTAGAGGAAAAGTAAGCAGACTTGTGTATGTTTATTAAAAAGTAAGCAAGTCAGAGGTTCGTTTCCCAGGACAGTAGACCTTTGCTCAGTGGAAGAGCACTTGCTTTTCATGCAGAGGATCCTTGTCATCTCCTGATCAGGTGGGAAAACTCCTACCTGAAACTAGCAAGCTGCTACCAGTCAGGATTAATGAGCCTGGGCTAGATCCGCAGAACCTAAGAAGCTGCCGCACCTGCCCCATTGATTCTTAGGTTCCTTCCCCATCTTTACATTTCTGCTGAGTCTGCCTTAGCAAAGAAGACGGCATCTCTGCTCCGCTTGGGCTCACCTAGTCCCAGGATTCACACTTTATACTCAGTGCAGATACATTAAAGTACAGGTAGAAAAAGGAGATGATCAGCAGAAATTCAAGCATGAAATAATGGGGGGATGTTTTTTGGAATATCCTGCTAGCAGAGCTGGGAAATGTGTACTAGGTTTTACCCAGCTTGCTTCTCAGTATAATAAATTGTGTCTTTCCTTTGAGGAGCCTCTGCAGGACTCTTACCCCAAGAAGGCAACAAGCTCCTGTCAGCAGGATGGGTTGATTTAATTCAAGGAAATTTAATCCACCACTGGAAAAGGCCTGACTTAAATAATTGTTCTAAAACAACTTTCATCTTTCTAAATATCCATATATTTTCCCAAGAGATTTGCATTTGAAATGGTTGGTATAAGCACTGAAATTATCTGTTGGCAACTAAATAGGAAATCATATGGAATTGAGATTCAGCATATCCCAAGCAGCCTCTGTCCTGTCCGAAGAATGCCTGTTGGGGGTGTAATCCCTATTCCTCCAGAGGGAGCTCCACCAGAGGTAGATTGATGCCACGGATCTCCCTAGAAGTACAGTTGAACTGTCAGAGCATGTTGGCCTGCCAGGCAGTGGTGCATCTCCATCTCAGTGTTAATCAGGGCAAGGATTGTTCTGCCTGCTGTTTCAGAGATCAGATTTAAATACTGCATGGATAATTAGCCAAATAATAATAGGTACAGAGTGTGGCTTACTGTCTGATACATGATAATGCCTGTTCTCCAAAGTCTCTCTCTTTTGTCCTTAGTGCTTTTCTAGGTAAAAGAATGAACTAGCTTGGTATGCTTGACAAAGAGCTTTGGATTCAAATGTAAAAAACAAATGTGAAGGAGTGTAGACGTTAACATGCTTTGCATTTATACTTTTTTTTTTTTTTTACTAAACATGTTATATTGATATTCTTTTAAAAAATAAAATCTGATTTAAATGTAACAAATCAGATTTTAAAAGCTACTCTGCTTGTCACTATAGCACTGATTCCTTCAAAGAAGTTGCATCTAACACCTCATGTCTCTAGCTTGGTTGCACTACCTGTCTCATCATCCCAGCATTGGTCATGGTTGCAGAGGATGATGGAGTTGTAATGGGAGAGCAAGGGGTGGGTCAAATATTCTCAGCCACCCTGTTTTCTGCAGGTGTCAACTAAACACATTTTGTATGTCAAGGGAACAGGAATCCTTTCTGAGTAGCCATGTTTTCTTAATATAAATGGAAACAGGGTAATTCCCTTTAATTTCATGGATCTCCTTTTTCAACTCCTAAAAGATACTTTACTTGAGTATTCATTTTCTACTGTATTGGTTTGCATTTGACCAAAGGTGGAGGGGGTTTTATTCATACAGACAATCAAGAATGCAGTTACCATTATTGTTAGGCATTTTCAGTTTTCTGTGAATCAAAAGTTACCCATTCCCATCATTCATTCGTAAATTTTTAGGTCAGTCATGCATGTATGCAGTTCCTGTCCACTCATAGAGATCTCTGGAATTCCTCTTGATTTCAGACCACTGATAAGATCAGGTCGTGTTCCTGATCCCACTCTGCTCCTGTAAATGTGCAGAAGCAGCAGGAAGCTCAGTAGAACCCTAACTGATCTACTTAACAGTAATGAAGTTACAGCAGGAAAACATCATAAAATCCTTCTCAACTCAGTTGAGTCTCTAAACTCAATTTCTTTTTATCTGAATTACATAACTGCCAGAGTATGTTGAATCAAAATATAATTATTATCAATACTTTGAATCTGGCCATCAGTTCTGTTTGAAGGAGGTATGCACAATGGCATAGGCATCAAAATGTGTTAGGAACTGCATCTTCTACATGGAAGACGGATCCAAATTGAACTGTGAAGCTGATACCTTGTATTCTGTATGTTGCTGGACTGTGGAATGCCTTCCATCCTGCTCTTTGAAGTTCACCAATACTAAGAAGATAGGTCAATTATCTCTTGAGTCATACAGGATGGCATCTGCTTCTGGGTTTCAGAGTGTTAATTCTTCACTTACCCAACCACAGAGAGCTGCTACTTCCCTCCTGTGTGCTAATAATGTCCCATGCTTCTTTCTTTCACAATTGGGCAGCGAGAGTGATCCGATCCAGGGAAAGGAAGGAGAAAGCAACTTCATCACGGTTTGGACAATGGGTGTATCCTGGCAATTTGTCTGCCAGCTCCTGGAAGGAAAGCTATCTCACTTTTTTAGCAGGTCAGTTTCCTCTTGGAAAGAAGAGGATGCCTGCTTGATACCAGTTCAGCGCTCAAAATCATGATGAAGTTATTCTTAGTAGAAGGAAATGATGCAACAAGGAATTTATCCACTTGAAGGAAGCTGGGTTTCCGTCCACGGGTATTATCTAAGCTGCTGTGTGTTCACTTAGCCAATTTGTGCATGCATGTTTAGCTGAAAAGATGGTTACAGAGTATTTCATGTCAGCAGGTCACAAGGTCTTCAGCTTGATGGGATTTATTTTCAGCATTCGTTCATTAACCATCTGGCCTATCCCGCACTTGGGACTGTTGATCTTGAAGTTGCTCCAGTCTGCTCCATAGTTAGGGAGCTATCGTTTTACAAAAGTCCTTAGCCAATTCCACATATGACTTGGGGAACAATAAAATTTACCTGTTTTTTTCAAGGCAGTTTACTGGTGTAAGTTTAACACAAAATAATTTTTGGAGTACTTCTTTTTCTAGATTATTCCTTATAAATAGAAAGCCAGCACATAAGTAAACATATAAAGCTGGCTTTGTCTTTTTCTCTCCACAATTTGCTGGATTTTTTTAAATGTGGGGGACACTTAAAAATGGTGCCTCCCACCTTGCAACTTGAGGCATAGAAGTCCAACCACCAGCTAAAGAGCCCATCGCATAATTCTGGTTATGCAGAAAGGGATTTGGTTCTTTAAAGTACTACCTGTTGCAGCCTGCTGAGGTCAATAGAGCATTGCTTGAAATTAACTGAAACTTCCTATTTGTAATATTGACTCCTTTATTCTCCCTGATTTAAGGATTTACATTTATCACTGAACAAGTTTGATGCTAGCTGCATCTGTGGGAGTTGCTCTGGCTTTGTTTTTTTTTTTTTTTTCCTCAGCTTGATGTGGTAATATGTTGTTTTTCAAGTGAAGGGTGAGTTTTTCCATAAAACAACAGTACTCTAAAGCTGCAGCGTCAGAATTTCTCTGGGTCATGTGCAAAATGGGAACTTTAAACCCGAATAAACCAAGAAGGCTTCTCTCTGACCTAATGCTTGAAAAGCCAGAGAGAAGTCACTTTTGTTTCTCCCATGGCAATTTTTTAAATGAAAGTTAATATGGAAACTTAAGCCAATCGCCACTTGATTCTTACTTAAGGAAGAGACTGATAACTGTTGCAGAAAGCCAAATTGTCTTTTCAATTCTAGCTCTTCGGTTTTGGAAACCACAGTTAATATAAGCCCAGGGACTTACATACAGAAAAGGGAGTAGGGGACATTATATTTCCTTAAAGTAGGAAATGCAAAACCAGGAAAGTGTTCCCCAAAGAATAGGGGGCTTTCAGAAGGACTGTGCATCTTTCCCAGCAGTTGCCTACAAGTTGATAAAAGCAAGTATTGTTGCAACAACAACAACATCAACAAAGAACAAGGCTCCTTATTGTGATCACTATAGAAAGATCTGTCTAATTCTTGGAAGTTACTCACAGAGTGGGAAGTCTGTGTCTTGGAGCCCATATCACCTTTGCATGTACAGGCTGCTTGTGGTGCCTCTTAGGTTGCAATCCTGGCTGCCATTTTTCCTTATTAGCATGCAAATATGTATCTATAACAGTATTTCTCAACCTTGGAAACTTTAAGATGTGTGAACTTCAACTCCCAGAATTCCCTAGCCAGCATAGCTGGCTGGGGAATTCTGGGAATTGAAGTCCACACATCTTAAAGTTCCCAAGGTTAAGAAACACTGATCTATAGAATTCTAAAAATACCTGCTGCCTGGAACTGCAAATAGTAAGGAAAGGTGAGTGAATAGGAGTTAAGAGAAAAAAGCAAGTGATCGGAGGGCCAGTTGAAAGCCTGTTTAGATGTGACATGGCCCTTTGGGCTGCCTATTAAGGGATTATGGAAGAAGTTGCGTGTAACCTAAGTGTTCAAGGACCTGAAATCATTTTGAGGAGCAAACCCTGATGGGAAAATGATCTGTGCTGAAAAATCGAAAGGAAGCAAAGAGCGGTCATGTTTACTATCTCATGGAATCTTGCAACACTCAACTTGTGAAGGGCATAACTGCTCTGACTTCAAAAAGCACATTGGAATCAGATCGTAAAAATCTGCAGGCAAGACAAGGGCGTGCAGAGTGCCATTTGTTCTCGTGCAGCTTTTCTGGCTGGTCCTTATATCAGATTGATCTCTGGGAGTTGAAAAGCACTTTGTTATATCTTGGACATGCAGTTTCAGAAGGATAAACTGGATAGAGAGGATGGGCATGGTAAGGGACCATGCTTGGGTACGCTGTTTTAAGAACAAGGACTTAGGGAGATGGATAACACTGAGTTAGAGTACTAATGTTTCCAGTGCGGTATTGCCTGTATTGAATGGCAGTAACTCTTCAGGGTTTCAAACTGGAGTTGCTCTCAGCCCAACATGGAGCTGCTAGGACAGAATCTGGAATTTTTGGCATACAAAGAATGTCCTCTATCTTGAGTTACAGCCCCTGCCTGCTTGTAAGAAGAAACAAATCTTTAGATGTGATTCTGGATTTGTTTGTTTTATACTGCTTGACCCAAGCTGTTCAATGTAAGAGGGGAAAATTGAGAAAAGAGGCGCTGGCTATTTTGAGCAAAATAGAGCAGCATTGCTCTTGTCATTCTGTTTGCCAAGAGACCTGGTATTTTTCCTTCCTACGATAGAGCATTTAAGAAGTTATGAAGAAGTGGTGTTGGAAGAGGAACCAGAGGATTAGAAATGGGATGGCCTTTTAGGCAAAAGAGGCATCAGCAGCCTCCCTGAAATTGCCCTCAAGACACTTGACCTGTAGAAGCTTTGGGCCAGACCAAGGCTGGTGGGAATTAGAGGTTAATACATGGGTGGTGGCAGATGAAGAAAGAAATTCTGATAACATTAAGAGGAAAACAGAGAAAGCAGCTAGAATGGGGAGTCTATTAAAAATGTTTCCATAGCATTTGGCAAATGGATGGTATAGAACAGTGTTTCTCAAATTTGACAACTTTAAGATCTGTGAATTTCAGCTCCCAGAATTCCCTAGCGTGGCTAGGAGTTGAAGGGAGTTGAAGTCCACGCATCTTAAAGTTGCCAAGTTTGAGAAATACATGTATAGAAGTTCCTTTCCTAGAAGAGGCTGTATTCAGTTGTGCCCTTGACTGCACAGGGGAAAGAAGACATAATTGGCAGGTGTAGATCCTGTATAACCCTGCTTTTTCCTCTGTGGTGTTTGCTTGAGAGGAGGAATGCTTCATCCATCAGGTGCAATGACAGAAAGTTTGCATGCCAAAGCCTGCCCATAGGCCCAGTTGAGGGGAGGTGGGATAAACATATTCTGCAGTTTACAAATTCCAAAAAGCAGAGCCTTCATCTCCTTGTTGTTTACTGTTGTAATCTTTTGCTGGGATATTGGGGGAAAATACACCTAATCTTTATTAGCCTCATGGATCTGGCTTTTTTTCTTGTGTGATTTCAGGTAAAAAAAAATCTGTTTTGCATAATTCTTCCCCCTGCTCCCCCTTTCCTATTTAGGACTGGGAGTGTTTGGTCTTAGAGAAGCTCAAATGGGACCTGGTTTTGGTAATAGCAAATGACTTCCTGGATCACATTCTCCATCGGCTGCCACTTCCCCAGCCTAAGGTGGACTTGGTGAAGAAACACGCCCAGACCTTCATTGCGTTGTGCGCCACAGGTATGTTTGTGTTTCAGAAAGTGAGCTTCTCTGGAAGGGAGAAGCAGCTTAATTTGCAACGGTTGAAAAGAGGAATTGCTTAATAGCTAGTTGTAGTAAATTGATTCTTTTTCAAAGAGGCCAAGGATCCCATTGATTAAGGTCTGGTTTCTGTCTCTGAAAACCAAGGATGATGAATATTTCAGGTTAAGTGTACCATTATCTATAAAGATGAAATATGACATAAAGTAATTACAAAATGTTGCTTTGCATGTTAAGGACAAATTCAGTCCAAGCAGTCAGTTCACGGAAGCATTTGGCAATTGGGTGCCATGGCAGAGCTTTTTGCTAAAATCTGTGATCAACTTAATCTCTTTTTCTTGCCATTTTGAGAACAACTACCACTCTATTGAAGAATATCATCTCTAGTTTCTCTTCTGTCACCAGAAAGATACAGCCTATTGATCACTGGAACTGGGCATCAGATCACTCTTGAATTCTTTGTACAGTCCTGGAGGGGAAATGCATCTTTCTCATGCTTCCAGCTACTTATTACTGTGTATGTGCAAGGATAGCCTCTCCTTTTTCTTCATCCAGGAAGGGGCGTTGTTGCCTTTTGTAACATGTTATCAAAAAGAAATGGTCATGTAACCGTATAGATTACTCTTAGGTAGGTTAATGAAACATCTTAGGTAGATTTCATGTGCCTTTCTGTTGGTTTCAAAGCAGTGCAGGAAGTTGCCAGCTAGCTCCAAAGTTTTTCATTCCAGTTTTTGGTGACTTTGGAGTGAATGGGAGATCTCTCAGGCAGTAATGGTTTCCTTCTTCTCCTGTAGCTGGCAAACTAATTATATACTAATGTCTGATGTGCAGTAGCATTAACTATTAAAATACAAAGGATGATGATGATGACAGTGACAGCTTGGAAGCTGGGATTTTCATCATATGCGTGCCTCCTCTCTCTTGTGCAAGCTTCTCCTGTAAAATATGTTGATAATATGTTGCAAAATGATTTCTATATGCTAAGAGTAGGCAACTTTTCAGTCTCGGAGGCCCTTTTAGAATTATGAAAGTGTGTTGTGGTCCCAGTCAAAAGCACTGATATCTTACGAGATTGCTCCTGTCACCATCTCTAGATGTCCCTCACCTATAAATACTGTCTGCAATCCCAGCTTACCTGTGTTTTTTTAAGGCAGCAAGAGAAGAGTGCACTTTTATAGTGAAAGCAACCCACCAAAAATCCTGTTGGGGCTGCATAATAATAATAATATGCAGAATAATGCCCAGAGTTCTTTAACTCTGGGCATTTTTTAATTAGAAGAATGTATCCCACCCCACTTCCATTAGAAGACAGTGAATGTGGTGGGTTCCAGGAGAGGTGCTATGGGTATGTTGGTGGCAATAGGTCCCCATATCAACTGCTTCTGCTGCAAGTTATTTTTCTTATTTAAAAAATTAGTGTCCATTGCTGTATTGCTGAAATTTGCAATGAGCCATCTGGTGGGGAATGAGACAGGGTATAAATACTTTAAATAATGTTCAAAGAACTAAGATTTTGTATTCCTTCTGAAACTGGAAAAGCTAACCTATGCTGCTTAGTTTTCATTTGCTTGGTTTTCTATCTTAAAATATCTGCTTAAGCTTTCTATGTGGATGTCTCTCTTTGCTGAATGAAGTAATTAGTGAATTTGTCCCTCTTCATCCTAATACCCTTTCTTCTGGATTTGTAGAATACACCTTTGCTATGTATCCACCATCCATGATTGCTACGGGTTGCATTGGAGCAGCAGTCCATGGCCTCTCTACCTCATCTGACCATTTTTCTGGCGAGGCGCTTACTGAACTCCTTGCTAGCATTACTGGCACAGAGGTGGTGAGTATCTGCTTGGAGGCAATAGCATGCAAAATAGGGACTAGAGTTCTACTAACATTTTGTTTCTTGGGTCAAGGAAAACTACTGTGGCTTCTTCCCTCCACAATCCAAACTTGTTCTTGCTTATAAAGTGGCCAGAAAATCTGGGGTTAATAGATGGCATTTAGCATCTCCTTCAGAAACTACAAGACTGTCAAATCATTGCTTAAACCAGTACTTGATGATTAGAGACATCTGCCTCTCTTCCACAGTTTTTGAGCTGTCAAATCTAAGATGATGACCCAATATTGCAACAGCAGCAGCAACGTCTATAGTAATAATAATTCAAAGTATTTGAATCCCAAATTTCTGTCAGATAATTAAACATCTAAAAGCAATAGCAAAAGAAAAAAATCCCAACAATCAAACCCCAAATCAATGTACACATCATAAAATTAGCCACACTAAACCAAGGCTGTCTTTTTGAGGAGGTGGTAGATGGGGAAAACCTCTAGAGAACTCTTTCAAAAGTCATTCTGAATGATGATGCTGATATTGCTGCGCAAACAGAGAAGAAAGAGTCAGCTTTCAGAATTAAAAATTGCTATTCATTTTTCAGCCCAAGGAACTTCTTGTCCTTAACTGAGACATGTCTATACAGCTGCAATTCAGAGAAATAAATGGAGATCAGGACAAATGTGCTGAAGAAAATAAACCCAGATTTTCATTTTATAATCCATGTTGATGATCTACCATTCTCATTTTTTACTAGTAAATTTTACTAGTAAATTTTACAAGTAAAATCCTCAGAATTCAGTAGTATTTGTTGTGAATTACAGCCTTGACCAATCCTGGATTAAACTTACTTCATTCTGTGAAGTATGTTTAAAGTGTCCTAGTGCTTTTCGTGGAAATGGAGTTCATAAATTCCTGCCCAGACCCTTCTGTATTAATTCTGTGTGTGCAACTAATGGGCTGGCTGGGGATAGAATTAGTTATTTTGGTCTGGCTTCTCTACCATGAATGGAATATTCATTTAGAATTATTTTTAAAAACTCCTGTGTTACCATGTGTTGTGAAATTTCAGATCCAGGTGCTCTTTACTAGCTTTTTCTTGTTGGACTCTTCATGATGCTATCTTGTTATTAAAACGGAAGGAATCTTAGGAGTAGGATAATGGGCCCTTGATCATGTGTTCTGCTTAGATTTTGAACAAAGTAAACCTTCCAACTCTGTTTTTCCTGGCTATCTTTCCTATCAGTATTGTTCAAGCAGTTATGCTAAGTTTCTACAGTCTTTTGTCTCTACCATAGTAGCTCCTTAAAAGCTACTTTTGGAAGCCTAGAACAAAGAACTGTCTGGAAGAGCTTCTGATGCATTATTAGAAGCCACAGATGAGAGGAGAAATGTTGGGAGTCTAATGTTGGGAGTCTAATATAGCATGCAGAAGCACCTGACCACTTGTGTAAAATTCTTGCTCTCACAGCTCTGGAAAAGTTGTCATTCATTCTGTACATATAATTCCACTTACTCACCCCTGACATTTTAGAGATTACTTGATTTGGCAAAAGATTCTGTATGCAGCAACTGACTTTGTCTGGTGCATATGGCTATATTATTAATGAGTCTTCCTTCAGTTCCAGCCCAGTGCAGAAAGCCTGTCACCTCTAGAAATGAAGGACAGTAGGAGCTTTCTTGCCTGCTCAGTGCAAAGATTACATGGTTGGCATAGGAAAACATCTGCTCTCCTCCTAGCTGGCAGGCGACGTCTCCATGCTTTGCATCTACTCAGATTCCCAAGCCAGTGCTCCCTTTTCAGCGTTAAGCCAAAACAGTTGTGACTCTAAAGTACTCAGTGGGGTTGCTATAAAAATTGGCTGTTTTCTAAAACCCAACTGTTTTTTCTTGGTATATTATGGCAGCTTCTGACCTACCACTGAGTTCGTGATTGCTGCATATTGCAGATGGTTCTTCCATTGATTACTTACGTGATGTTCCAGATTAGTTGCTGCTTTTTTTCTTTTGCACACTGGGGGTCTTTGAAAAGCAAAAATTCATCCAAGCAGGTAGATGTTGGAGATTGGGTTGGTGTATGGGGATGGGCTTGGAACTGAACTGTTCTGTTCATGTGGGTCAGTGTAGGATTCCTGCCAGGGGCAAATATGGAGTCCAGAGAAGCACACTTCAGGTAGCATTCCAGATCCTTCCCTGGTTGCCAGCTATCCCAGAAAAGCAAATTTGACATTTTACACACTCTGTTACCTGGCCCAAACCAGCAGGCAAAGCAGGAGCTGGGGAATTGTGTCTCTCTTGTAGCTCTAGTAATAACTTGCATGACAACCATGAAGTGAACAGCATTTTTGCTAAAGTTTTTGGCTTTTTGCCCCATGTTCTCTGAACTGTCCAGGGCCAGCTGCTTGCAAGCTGCTGCTGTGAATGAGGGTGAGCCTGGAAATCGAGTTTGAATGCTGAGCCTGTGAGCAGAGTTGATGGAAGACAGTAGAGGACAGGTGGGAGGTAGAAAGAGGGTTACAAAAGAGGAAAATCTCATAAAGAGAAAAAGCAGGGCACTTCAAGGCCTCATGCTGTTAGAAAGTTCTGACCTAAATTGGAACACTATGTTTATCTTGTCAGTTTGGTTTTTTCTCCTGCCCAGTTCCTTTTGGCATCTTTCCCGCTTTTTGCATCTTTTAAGTTTTTGTCTCCTGAACTGAAGCTTGGAGAAGATGCTGGTAGAGAAGCTGGTATTTTCCCTTGCCCTGTTGTTTGATATGCTTATTAGGCTTCAGCTGAAGATTTAGTGGGTAGAGGCATCATGCAGAGACTTGGGTTATTTCCAGTTGTTTTATTTTATTAAACTTTTCTGTTTTCTGAAAATAGCCTTTAAATCTGCTTTTTCAATATGTATAGATGAAAGTAAATTTAGGGTGCTGATTGAGATTTATAGGAAGTATGGACATATATTCCTATTTTTGGAAGACGGTTTGTTATAAAGCATGTATGTAATCAGGAACAATTTTTAAAATGTTGAGATGTTTGCATTCTTTTCATGTATCTAGTTTTCAGGCCATGTAAAAATAGAAGCTGTGAGACTGGCTCAAAAACAAAAAAGAATAGGTTAGCATTTGGAGGACCTGCACATTCTTTCTGCCCCCTGCATCTTTCACACTTGTCCCCGCTACTCCCAGTTGCATTTAATCCTTAGAATCTCACATGTCAATGGCTGGTATCTCTTGCATACAATTCACTAGATGTGTCAGATGTCTTAAGATTCTAGAAGGCAGCATTGAGAATACATGTTTTGAATGGTCATGTACAGTGTTGCTTCTTTTTAATAACAGTACCAAGTCATGAATAGTCTAGGACATGTTTTACAATAAACACATCCTTGATCCATCTAGCTCTATATTGTCTACATGCTGATTGGCAGCAGTTCTACAGGGTTTCCGATTGGTTTTTAAAACATAAAAAAAATACCATATTCAGACACCGCCATTGTCCTAGCAAAGGACTTCAAGACAAAGACATGAAGAAGGGAGAAGCTACAGTTATTGTTGCAATGTTCTATTTGAGTATCATTGAAGTTCTTAGAGATTTCTGAGGACATCTTGGAGTAAAACTGGAACATTCTGAGATAATTTAAGCATTTGTCATATAGGACTGAAGCCACCTGTGATATGTTTCAGTTCACTGGCAATGCTGGCATCTGGATTATATACTGAAATAGGAAGAATTATTTCCTATAGAGGATTGTGTTCATGCTTGATCATTGGAGTCTTGTCTGTCGGAGCTAAAACTCTCTCTTCCACTCAGAGAAGGAACTTATCATGAGAAGTCCAATGTTCTAAATTCTATAATCAACCCTTCCTGCATAGCTTTTACTTCCCTTTCCTTATCATCTGCTTGCAAGCTGGCTAAATAATTTAAAGTGGGCTTTGCTAAGCCTTTGGTGGGTGTTAAACAGAGGTTTTAGAGGCCACATTTACTGGAACCGTCTTGGGGAAAAGAGCTTGGGTGTTGCTATTTTTACTTGCCACATCCTCTGTCAGTTTCTAAGAACCATCAGAGGATTCTTTGTAAGATTGTATACATGACAGGATCCTGTGAACGGAGCAGCCTCAAGGAGCCTGTTGAGGATCCAATCAAAACCCTGAGACTCTGCATAGAAAATGTCACTATGTTTTAGGCTAGGGCAAGAGAATGACTTCTAGTCTTTATAGCAGGAGATGCAGCGAGCTATAGTTAGGGCTTACCACTGTGATTCATTGCAGAATTTTCTCATCTCCCTGAGAAAAAGTATTGCTGTATATAACCCCTCCCAAATTTAAGGTCAAGATTTTCCCTTGCATTAAGATAAATGCAGTGACAGTACTTTCTGGAGAACAGTCACAAGAAATCTAGCACATTCAAATCCTTGGGGGGGGGGAATCCTGAACCCTTTCCAATATTGTGGTAATACTTCACACTAGATAGCTTACCAGTAATGTGTATTTCTAGCAGTTCTTCCCCTCCAATTCTGTTTGCTAATGCTACATGTTAGAGCATAAACTTTAACGCAACTGTGTCTTCTGTGCAAACATGGTAGGAATGGATTGCACGGTCTCTTCCTTGGCACAATGTCTTTGGAATTCCCAGTACACTTCAAAATACTTCTTTGAAGGAAATAAATCAGTGTGCACATTCACAAAGAAATGATTAGCAAATATTTAACTGTAATCAAACTGATTTTTTATATGTTCCTCAACTGTATGAAGATTAGAATAGTCAGAAGAACTGTACCATTCTAGCATTCTGGGATCACCGCTACAAGAATCAGGCCTAATCTGGCTACTTTGAAGTGATCGCACTTAAGGTAATAAAACCAAGAATGGCCCCAGGTGGCCCTATTTTGCCAATTTCTATGCAAACCTCTAAGTAGACCAGCTAGTATCAGTTGCATTTATTTGTTCCTGCATGGTGATTAAGAAACCAGTCACTGACTGTGCTTCTCCCTTGGAACTTGCCAGTACCATCCTACCTAATATGAATGCTTCAGATATTTGAAGATGTTTAGTTGTGCTGAAAACAGGCCTGAGGGGTACAAAATGTGGACATGAACAACTCTTTTCTTCCTCTCCTTTTCCAGGACTGCCTGAAAGCTTGCCAGGAGCAGATCGAGGCTGCCTTAGCTGAGAACCTGAAACGAATATCTCAGCCTCAGCAAGAATATAGCCCCTCCAAGAATGCAGCTTACCTGGACAGCCAGGAAGTCAGCTTGACCAGCACACCTACGGATGTCACAGATGTCAACCTGTGACCAAGTCCTCCTGGTGACTACCCAGTTCTCAGAAAAAAAAGGCCTCCTGGAACATTCTACCATCACTGAAGAACTGAGAGAATTTTCCCAGCAGATACCATATTTCTATATAAGGCTGTTGGCACTGGGTTGTAGTGGACTTGGGTGGGACTCAAGAAGGAATAGGCCTCTTGAAAGAGGACTGTTTTTCTGTGTTGCTAGCCTGGGTTTCCAAGGATCAGGGGAGCCTTCTGGGGTAATCGAACCAAGCTTAAACCTGGGAAGGATGAGTGAGCATAGTGTCAATTCAAAACATTCATTGGTTTGGGTCTCTTCATTGGTGGGGCATTGCTGATATACTGCTATTTTATCTCAATCTTTGCTGCATGCCTATTGCATGCAAGTCAAGAGAGAGAATGCACTTTCGTTGGCTCAATCACCTTCACCTTCCATAAAGACTTGTTGATGTTCACCTGAGACGACCTTGGCTAAAGCTGTTTTGCTCAGGCTGCCTTTACTGGTCATTGGTAAGAGCCCAAGCAATAGAGAGTATAGCACTGAGATCCCTTTCCAGCTTCACTCAGTGCCAGGGACGTCTTAGTTCTTTGAAGATCTAGAGTAGCACAATCCTTGAGCCCTTCATTTGAGAACGAGTGGGGGGTTTGCTTGCTTTTTGTAGGTGCTTATAAAGGTGCTGCTTGTCATAGTGAAAATGTGGGGAGGCCCGAAGGGATACATTCTACTTGCACCTGGTTGCCTTTGCTTACTCCTGTGAGATCTATGAGCTGCTTTATTTATTGTAAGAACTAAATCTTGTAAAACTGCAGAATGAAGGGACATCAGCATTCTGGTCTGTCCCATCTTGCCATATAAAATAGTGCCTTAATGTTGTTTCCTCATTCTCCTTCATACCTCTGGGTTGCTTACTTTGAGAGATTAGTCATTGTAGAAGTCATTCACATTCAGAGTACACCCAACACTTGCTGCTATACTTGTATGTATAAATCCCTCTTCTCTTCACTGCCAAAAACCTTTTAAAAGGCAGGCAGGAGAGCTGGATGGAGATGGATGGAGTAGGAGTAAGTAAAAAGTTTTCTAATGTAATCACCTGCTTTTATAAGGGGGATAAAAGATTAATTTCTTTCCCCTAAGAGTTTACAATATGATGAGCTGCAGACTGCACTGGTGTCAAGAGTTAAATTCTTGTTTGTTCAGGAAAAAAAATGTGCTGGGTTCCCCTGCCCCCCCAAATGCTGCTTTTATGAAAGATCACTTTGAGAAATATTAGGTGAACTAGAGTGATGGGAGCAAACCTTGCCTTTGAGTTCTAGTGGTATTCCATTCTTCAGCCCTCTGACTGTACTAGAAATGCGAACTGATGCACAGGCATCCCCTGTGGGGGAAAGGGGCAAGTGACAAAATGTGCAGCAGCGCTGCAGCACAAACTGCCCCCTTGTGTGCTTGCATGCAGTGATGCGACACAAGTATGAAAGGGAGGAGCTTGCATTATGATGTCATGACATGTTTTGTCATTTTGGCATTGTGATTATAAACTCAAACACCACTGGAGACAGTCATGCTTACCAAAAAAAAAAAAAAAAGCCTTTTTTCCCTCCATTTTTGCCTTTATTTCCCCCTTCCCTATGCTTAGCCTGGTTATGTCATAATCAAAGTGTCGTCACACTTCTAACAAATGGAAGTCTGTATCCATTAGAACTTCATACAAGTTTGGAAATGAGGAGAATGCATTTTAGAGAGAGAGAGAAATATATAAATATATATATTACAGCTTTAAGTAAAGTTTGACAATATGATATTCACTGTCATTTGAAATTCAGTTGTTAGGACAATTTTGGTATTTTACCATATTGCAATAAAAGATTTTTGAAACTGGCACATTCTTGCTGTCTTTCTTGAGCAGTAGAAATACAATTTTAAAAGAACCAAATGGATCTACAATATAGTTTGAGTATCTTCTAAAGAAGGCTGCTATTAAAAATATAGGCTGCTCGTAGTTTATGCCTTTTAAGGACTTCATAATGTTGTTCAATTTCTAACTATTCCAATAGAATACATTTCTCAGCTGTGGCAGCTAAATCCCGCAGATGGATGGTTAAGGACAGCAACAGGACTATAACATTAATGATTATGCTTTAATATTATAGAGGTAAAAATCAGCAAAATGCAGCATGAAATGAAGCAGCTAGTTTATTAACTTGAGTGGGATATATAGAACATAACCACTACAATTACAATGGCTATTAGTTGGTTTCCAGGCGCACAAGTGCCTGACAACAAGACTTTCAGATTGCATTGGTAGTTCTTTTTTGTATGTGCAATATGGTGTAGCCAGTAATACTGGTCACCCTTAGAGGTTAACAAATCCTTACGGTTCAAAGAACTGGACAGAGGACAACTTGCCTCATATTTCTGGATCTTTCCCTCCTGGTTGAGCTTCTGCAGGACTCTGCACACGTGGCTCTCGGAGAGCATTTGGAGGATGCTGAGATTATGCCTGCCCCAGCGGATAGCGCTGACATTTGAGATTGCGTGGTTGAATTGTGATTTGTTTTTTTGTGTAATACGCCATTTTTTTTGTTCTTGCGGAAATGAAGCAATGGAGTACAGTAAGTGAAAAAATGCCTGAAACGCTTTATTATGCCATTAGCCTGCAGAACCCCACATTTACCATTAGTGGCCTTTCACCACATCCCTAGTAATAACTAATATGAAGTGATTGGTTACAAGATGGTTTTTATGGTCATGGATGGCCCTTCCTGTATGAAAGCCATTCCCCAGGGAAGTTAGCCTGAAGCCATTTCTGATATTATTCTTGGTCAGGTGCGTATTTCACCCTGAACTGGTTTTTACATTTTAACTACTTTGCTATATATTCATGCTACTATAATTTCCGTCTCCCTTACTTCAAAAGGCAACCTAAACTTCAGTTTAAAGGAAATACATTTTAATGAGAAAGATGCCTTTGGGAAAAGATTTCAGGAATGGGACTCATCTGCAAACGTGCTGGTTATCATTTAACTCAGTAACAGATCAATTTTGAATGATGTTTTTTGTCTTCTGAATTCAGTACAAAGGGTCATGCACTTATCTCCCATTCAGCTAATCTGATTTCTGGCCTCTGAAATTTAAAACACTGCAAGGATGGGTTTTTAAAATCCAACATGCTGGTCCACTGCTACGGTATATTATTTCTACTAACATACCAAATCCAAAGATCAGTTCTTACCTATAGTAAATGTAATGAAGGCCATCTGCTGGAAGACTAGTGGGCTTCCTTGTGCAGGTGGCTGACCACTGTGAGAACAGACTGTTGGGACTAGATGGGCCACGGGTCTGATCCACCAGGGCCCTGCTTACGTTCTTATGGTCTAGGAAAACAAGGCATGTATCTATAAATCTCAACTCTACTGAAAAGTTGCAGTCAAAAACCCTCCTGCAATGAGCTGCTCTATACGTTTTCGAACAATATACTCTGGGAAACTGGTGGAATCAGTACATTAACACGTTAGAGAGTCATTACGAGGAGCTTAGAAAAGCAGAACGAAGAGCTGGGGGCAGGAACGTATGAGCATTCATATTAATTGCTCTGATCAAATATGGCAAATGAGTCTCAGAAAAAAAAAAGACCTTTTAAAAAAGCCTCCATAGCTGATTAGTCTAAGGCCAGAATGTCACTTTTATGATAGGCAAAATGTGGGCAATGGTCCTCTCAATGGTGACTAATTATGACCTAGTTCACACATTGCTGTAAGCTGAGGACTTGAATATATTCCATGGGAACATGGAGAGGAGAACTCTGTAATGGACTGAGGAAAAAATTCTCCACAAAAGATTACGGGAAGACTGTCCACAAGGGCCCCTTCATGGATCACTGCCTTGTCATGGCGAAGGGGCTTGCGTAACTCAGTGAAGCCATGAGCTATACCGTGCAGGGCCACCCAAGATGGACAGGTCATGACAGTTCTGACAAAATGTGGTCCACTGG